GATATAAGGCAAAAAGAATAATAATATCGAAGAACAATATAGTTTTATTGAAAATTATAAGTCACAAGGAGTGGATGCATCTGCGCTATTGAGAACGATTTTGAGCCATTTCACCAATTGTCTCCAGTCATTGATGTTTACCGCCCGGAGGACCCCAACCAGGAAGTCTACACCTCCCTATGTCGCTGGCTTAAACTAACTGTTGTGGATTTCATTGACTGGTGCCATGTTTTCGTTTGGCCACCACTAGCTCTCTCTATCTTCCAGCCTCATCAATCCTATGTCAGTCAGCTAACATTGCCTGTTTTCGAGGAAGGCGATGGCTAGGCCTACGTAACACATGTCCTAACCATCTCAATCGATTTAACTTCACAGCCTCGTCTGTTGATTTCCCCTCTTTACCTAGCACTCGACACTAACCTCAATATTACTCACCCTACTACACCACTTCACATGGGATATAGAACTCAGGCACCTATGGTCAAAGACAGGTAGCCAGTTTTTTCATATCTTCCACTCTCAATGGCCAGGTCTCACAGCCATAAAGGAGGACAGAGCGAACTGCTGAGCAGTACACCCGTCCTATGTTCGATAGCCGGACGTCGTTACAATGATGGTACCAACAAGTCTTGGAATATGGCTTAAAAGGGTTGGTCAGACTGTTTAGTCACCAATGTATCTGGAATTCGAGCTTGCAACTATTCCCCTTGAACGAGTAATTCCTGCTTTATTCAGAATCTGAATAGTCAAGGGTTTACTTTTTGAGTGAATTAATCTTATTCTACACTTTTACTGGGTATCATGATAAATGTTTACAAGAAACAATAATTTAGTAAAATAATTTATCTAAGGGGTTAAATGCCCGTGGAAATAAATATTTCACTAATTTTCAACTTCTCTGTTGAAAACGGTATAAAATTCCAATGAAAATTTTATTTGACAATAACTACAGTGCTAATCATTAGTTAGTCCGAATACGGATGCTCTGAAGTAATATCAGCTCTGTGAGCTAAGTTGAATTGGGTACACTTTGGGTGAGCTTCGATTCAAACAAATAAAATCTCTTTGGCTTCGATTTGGATACCAGATGCTGCTGGTTAGTGATGCAAGTGGTCTCTAACTACTCATACAATCAATCAGTAGTATATAACACCACGCTAAATGAGTTAGTCGATTACAGCTCTCTGTGATGTTCTTCTACACTAATAATGGCCAACTTCTTTATATTTCCTCTTACATTAAAAAAGTAATACAGTCACTTCCTGAAACTGTAAAAATCTATTAGAGAGAAAATGACATTTAAGCGTTAATTTATTGTATCATATATGCAAAATTTTTATTCTTGAACACCTTGAATCCGGTTTTTTTCAAATGGAGTGTAGAAAGTTAGACTGTAATAAATTATTGATGTTTGATTTGATTTCAAAGTACATCAAAATTAATCAGTTCAGAGACATTTGTAAACTGTATGAAATGAAACAACTATCTTTCAGTTAAAATGGTCTGGGTCTTTTAAAAGAGGAAAACTGTACAGGATGTGAAATCTTAACAAAATCTACACAGGAAGTTAGTGTGTAGAATCCTTATAAAACAAAAATGTAAATGAACACTTCTCTTTAATCGACTTTTCTTTAAAATGTGATTATATATAGTTTTATTATTCTCTTGGGTTCCAAGTGTAACATCGGGGTTCAATAGTACATATCCATTTTCTCCTGTTTCCTATAGTCCTCTTTAACTGGTCTCGCGATAGCTCATAAGCTTTCATCTCCTTCATGTCACCCTCGAACGCTCAACTCGCCGTTTCCAATCTGGGTTCCACTAGAGCGATGGTCTGGCGTGCAATATCATTCTACAGTCTCTTCAGTGTGTACGCAATCCATCGCTATTTTCTCCTACATATTTCTTGAGCAAACGGTTCTTGATTGATTCATTCCCGCAGTTTCTTCTTGCTGATTCTTTATGGCCGGCCATCTGATTTTCACTATGGAGTCAGAGAAGTCAGCTATTGACAAAAGTCCTCAGTAGCCTGTCAGAAATGTTTTTCGTGACGCGTACACGCTGTTTCTGACCCACATAGACGAAATGACTAATTTAACGTGGCTGTTGGGAATCCGAATCTTGTCGTTATCAATCAATTTTATATAATTTCACTTATATGGTATCTGTTATAGTGAAAACAAGTGATTCAGAGAAGAGATGCATTTCGACCAACTTACTATCAAACTGTATAGTGGTGTATATATACATATATATATATATATATATATATATATATATATATATATATATAGAGAGAGAGAGAGTAGGTTATACAAAATGCAGAATATTCCGTAGACTTAATAAGATTATTAAGTAAATAAAACATTAAGCGACAAGGTTAGAATTACGATAACGCAAGATCACAAAAGTCATGTCAGTATATGTGTACAAGAACACTACCCTATGTCTGGTTACGACCAGATGGAAATTATAGTTATATGAAGCTCCCGTGTGAAGTGGTATAATAAGGTGAGCAATATTGAGGTTAGGCGTCGAGTGCTAGGTAGGGAGGGGAAATCAATAGACGAGGCTGTAAAGTTAAATCGACTGAGATGGTTAGGACATGTGTTACGTATGCCTAGTCATCGCCTTCCTCGACAGTGGGCAATGTTAGCTGATATAGGGCCAGGCTGGAAAAGAGCTGGAGGCGGTCAAACGAAAACATGGCACCAGTTAATGAAATCTACAACAGTTAGTCTAAGCCACGTAGTAAGGTGTAGACTTCCTGGTTGGGGTCCTCGGGACGGTAAAAATCAATGGTTGGAAACAGTTGGTGACATGGCTCAAAATCGTTATCAATGACGCAGATGCATCCACTCCTTGTTACTTATGATTTCCAGTTAAACTGTTTTGTTCTCCGTTATTACTATACCTTTGTCTCACACCTCTGTTTACTGTCTCTATTATGAATTTCTTCTACTTTCTTCTCTTGCTTTGTGTGCTACATGGAGTGTGGTGACTTGAACTACTGCACATCGGTGCAAAGTTCTATGTCGAAAACAGACAGACAGACAATAACCAGTCAATGGTGGTCATCTTATCTTCACAACTTTTACCTTTAAAGTTATCTGTGAAGTGAGAAATAACCTGCCAAATTACTGTGTATCCAACTCACCTGCATTGTTGAAGCCTTAGTCATCGAGAAATCAGTACTCTGTATACCGAAAACATCTGTTTGACCACTCCTTCTTTCGCACAGCCTTAATCCGTCTACGTTAAATTATTGTAGTTCCTATTTCCATCTCAGTCATACTTATTTTGCACTCTATTTGGTTATTCTATCAGTATTATTATTATTTACTGACAATTCGAACAGGTTCCGGTATAATCTTACTTGTCCTCCGTCATCACATTAATTCAGTATATTTTCCACAGTGCTGAACTCTATATTACCAAGAGTGTCGCTTTGTTATGCAATCCTTCATTTGCCTACTCATTGTATTTTTACTATTCCCTTGGGTTCCGAATGGAAAGTAGGGCTTCAACAGCACATCTCCATCTCATGCAGTTCTCTGTGGTCCTGTTAGTTGCCTCCACAACTCTCCATAAGCTTTCATTTCCTCATCACACGTTCTCCTCACTGTGTCACCCAGCCATGGATACTCAGCTCTTCGTTTCCCGTCTATACTCCACTCGATACCTTGGTGTGTAGTGTCACTAGAACATCTCCTCAACGTATGTCCATTCCATTTCCATTTACTTCTGCGTATTTGTAGGATAATACGTTCTCGGTAGATTCGTAGACAAAATTCCTTGTTGCCTTTCGTTTTTGCCCATTTAGTCCTTAGTATAAAGTGAATTCAGGTGTTGTTGAAAGTATTCAATAGCCTATTCGAAGTGTTTTTTGTGATGCTCACGCCAAATCTCTGAACTATAAAGAAGCACAGGCTTGATATTAGTTTTGAAAATCTTGTTAATAATGCTGAGATTTATACATTCAATGAACGGTTTTACAAAGTACATAACTTACCTTGTGTTGCTTGATGTTTAACTATGATTACGATTATGAATATTTTGTTGCAGTTCACGTATATATATTATTATTATTGTTATTGTTCCCTTGGGTTCCTAGTGGAACATAGGGCTTCAACTGCACGCCTCCACTTGCTTCTGTCTTCTGCTGTACTTTTCACCTGCATCCATGTTAGTCCATACTGCTTCAGCTCCTCTTCACACGATCTCCTCTATGTCACCCTTGGACGTCCCACTCGCTGCTTCCCTTTCGAGTTCCACTCGAGCACTGGCCTGACGCGCGATGTCACCCAACGGCCTCCTCAGCGAGTGTCCAATCCATCTTCACTTTCTCCTGCATATTTGTTGGGCGATTGGTTCTTGTTTTGTTTGTTCCCATAGTTTCTTGTTGGTGATTCTTTCCGGCCATCTGATCTTCAGTATAGAGCCTCGCCTAGATTACTAGCTCACTAGTTTTCTAGCCGGTCCCTAGCCCGGATAAAGAGGGAGGGTTGGGGCGTGGTGCTAGCAACTCCACCCCCAAAACTTAACCAAATTGCTACAGAAACTTCAACGCACAAATATATTAAAAATACTAAAAAAGAAATATATATATAGTAAGATCGTAATTCCTAGGGACTAGGTAAGTATGACCAGGACATTAAACAAACTTGATCCTGCCCTTTACTGCGTCAGTAGATCACTGAGAGAATATTCGTCAACCAAGCATGTTGTCCGGGCTCAATCCCCGATCGACACACTCCTAAATCTATCTTAGCCGGCGGTGGGCATGGTATAAAGGGAAGGTTAGGCATGAGGCTATCAATTCCATCCTGTGAAAGGGATACCACCATTAAGACAACACCAAAACTAAAGCTTGAAGCTCCATGCTCCACTCGAGATGCAGATTGATGATAAGTCGGTTAAAATTGATCTCTTCACTGAATCACTTGTTTTCACTTTCTGCATAATCTAATGAAAATTTTTTACATTTTATCTTTTATTAGACTTACCAGCCTCGTCAGAAAATGTCAGTGATGTAGGAGAAGAGGCAGGAGAAAACGACGACTACGACGACGATACAGAGTCAACAGTCGGTTCAAGACTATGGAAATCAAGTTTAGGCTTTAAACAATCAAAACCATCGTTTACAAGTCGTCAGTTGAATAAACCAGAAACTGATCATCATGTTAAGCGTATAAGACGTATGACAACAACAACAACAACCACAGATTCACACGGTTATGATCCCATACATTATTCAAATCATGTGATAATAACACCAGTGAAGAAGACTCGAAGAAAAAAATTCATGTCCCAGTTCTCTACACCATTTGATAAACCAGATGCATTTTATTCAGCTAGTCTAGCAAATTTAAATCCACGTTCTTCACAAATACTTGTTGCTTATAAAAAATCAATATGTACTGCAAATCCATATTCTAAAGGTTTAACTTCACTACACAATTCATCTAAACCATCATTAATTTATTCTACGAATGAACCAATGAGTAAGAAACGCAGTACTACTGATTTTATTAGTAGTAATATGTCAATCCAATCGTTTTCTTCTTCAATGTTAAATAGACAACAAGATCAAGAAACATTACAACCGGTACCACCACCACCCCAGCAACAGCAACAACAACAGCAACAGCAACCGCAAATGGAACAATTAACCTCATTTGATAATCAGATCTTTAGATCTACACGAAGTAATATCTTCTCTGAGTGGGATGTCATACCAGAAGAAGAGTTAATCACTACTACGACTAATGATAAAAATAATAATAACAGTAATGTTAAACATGAAAATTACAAATGTACAGTTGAAAGGGAATATTCAACAGAGATGCCGTTCATGCATAAACCTCAAAGATATTTGATAACATTTGGTCAAAGAACAATTAAACTATTTGATTTAGGTTTATTTACTGAGAGTTCATTTTTATATTTAATTGGAATTGGGATAACAAGTCAACTGGCGTACTTTATTCCATATGTTTATTTAATTGACTGTGCAATAAGTTATGGAATGGAACAAGATCGTGCTGTCATTATTGTGATGATATTAAGTAAGCTGAATTTTTAAGTATATGTTTGTAAAGATTTGGTTTGATCGGTTGCAGGATTTCATCATGAGCTGATATCGATTAGAGAACCATTGGTAAACCTGCAGGGAGTACTGGGAAGCTGTTTCTCCAGCCTAGTTTGGGGCTCTTCAGCAGTACGCACCCACCGACAGGGTTAGAACCCACGACCTTCTGGTTACAAGGCTAGTGAGTTCGTAGACCACTCAGCCACTGGGAGCCGATCCAATGACCAGCCCATGAATTCTAACTTCTGCCAATACATGACATAGCGCGACCCACTTAGCAGTGTCTTCTTCGATGATTAACTGTCCTCACCTTCGACCTGAGTTTGTTATTTTTAGTTCTAGAACACGATTTAAGCAAGCGAATACATGTATTTTCGGTAGATATTCATCAGGCTCACCACAATTACATAATAAAATATCAGTCATACACATTTGAAACAATGTGGATCAACAAAATCAAATTCACTAGATGGTTGGAGGCAATCGGTAGGAAGCCCACCTTGAAGTAGGTTTCGTGCTTGCGTTGTCACTTACCAGTCAGCAAGACGTATCCACAACTTTGAAGGAACTCATGTCCCTTCTGAGATTCGAACCCGTGTCACCCAGTACTGCAGTTAGAAAGCCCGGATAGCTTAGTGATAACCTGGAATATGCTGAAGCAATCTCTATCAAACGCCTGAAATCCGATTTATGTCTTCAGAAAATTAACTGTTCTTGTGGAGTCAGTTACATAGGTAGGATGACTCGGCAAGCCCACCGTCACCTTCTTGATAATTGTCCAAAGTGGTTACGTAAAGAAGTCGTAAAGTCAATCAGGAGTTCCGTACTGGCACACTTTGTGGATATAGTTAACAAGACTGATAAACATTCAGCCTTTACAATTCTATACAAGGTGCCACCTCAATTCTCGCCAAGTTTGTATGCCTACGATTGTTAAGCATAGCTGAGGTAATTGGTGGATGGTGACTAGCATTGAAATCTAGGATGCGCATTTCGTCCTACTTGAGAGTGCCATAAAAAAATTTTCAGCCTAATCTTTATGTTCAGAAATCGTTTGTTCAATCCCTCTTGTTGCCACGGCCTTCAAATTCAACCTAGAATAGTTATCTCTTCCTGTGATACTGGATAAATGTAAATATTATTTTATTTCAATTTCTTCATTATCAATGTCATACTGTTCTATAGGAGCAGTTTTTAGTCTTAGTTTCATAATTTATTACTATTCTGTTGAAATTCTCTTCGATTTCATTTGATTCTATTCATCCACATTGTTTCAAATGTCTATGAATTAACTTCATCGACTTGGAAAAGGCTTTCGACAGACAACGTTGAACGAGAACTGATTTGGAAACTGATTCAACACTACAGCATGCAGCGCCCAAGTCTTTATCAACCCCATTCAACAGCTGGCTATATGACAATGCCACACGTCAGGTGACCTACAACGGAGAACTCAGCGAGGCGTTAGAAGTGAATATAGCAGTAGGACAAGGCTGATTGTCTATTATCACCGATGATATTCTTAATTGTGGTGGACTTGATTTTGCGGAAGACTCTGCGTTGGGAGCGAGGAGACAGGAATACGCTCGACCACCTATAAGAAGACTCTAGAAGATCTGGATTTCGCGCTTGGATGATTTATGTTTATGTTAAATGTCACACAAACTCGAAGATTTGCAGGTGAAAGCCAACAAACTGTCTGAAGAGCCTGGTAGTGAAGACAGCACTCAAGGTGAACATAGAGAAGACGGGGGTGATGAAGATAACCAACCTTCACCACCACCAACAACAACAACCAGCACCAAGCATCATCAACGGGAGAGATTTGAAAGAGGCTACTTCCTTCACTTATCCGATTAGGAAGCACGGTTTCAGCCACAGTCAGCGGAACAGATGAAGATGTCAAAGTCAGAATCGAAAAGTCAGCACACGCCTTCATCACCCTGAAACCAGTTTGAAAATCTTCTGCACTGCAGTCAGCCAGCCGGCATAAACAACAAGATTCGGATTCTGTTCAACACAAATGGGAAGTCTGTCGGCCAGTGTGTTCTTCTATACGGGTCAGAAACTTGCACTGCATGTCAGTCACGAAGAAGATTTCCAACAAGTTACAGACTTTTATCAATAGCTGCCCACTTTGCTGGCTGGTTCCATACTGAAGATCAAACGGCCAGACAACCGACTGACCAGAAAGAATTAGCAACAACAAACTCTAACTGAGAACAATCCAACAAGCAAGAACCGATTGCTGAACAAATATGTAGGAGAAAATGGAAATAGATTGGGCATACGCTGAGGAGACCTTAGAATAACATTGGATGCAATGCAGGCCATCACTCGAGTGGAATCCTAATGGGAAGCGGCGAGTAAGTCATCAGTGAGAGAGTGATATGGGGGCAGTTGTGTGGTGAGGAAGAGATGCTCAGCCAGCTGAAGAGAACAGCAGAAAATAGAAGAGAGTGGAGATGTGTTGTTTAAGCCCTACGTTCCACTCGAAACCCAAGGGAATAGTAATAAATAATGACTAATAATCTATTATGTAATTGTAGTAAGTCAAGTGGGAATTTACCGAAAATATGTATTTGCTTGCTTTTTGGTTCTACGTATAGCATTGACATATTGTTATTTTTAATATTTTAGATTTCTCTTTATTATATGCATTTTTTATCTGAAAATTAGTTAGTATTGATTAGAAATATGTTAAAAATGGAACTTAGCATGCATGCATGTATGCTACTTTCTCTGTGGTGTGAAGTTTCTGTCACAATGGGTTCTTTTCACGGCCTACGCCAAGCCTGCGAAATATCCGTTCTTAAGAACAGTTAGTGGACTAGGGGAGGTTCCTCAGCTGAGTGATTGATCTCGGGCCTCCCGCAGGACTGACAAGTATTCTGCCATTTATCAGCAGATGCACCACTCTGTTGATCAACGTAGTTTCTTCCAGTGAACTCAAATGTCAGTCTGATTTTCCGACGAGCATTTTATCAATATAATAAAAGAGTGAAACAAATTAGAAATTTTTTTCAAACACAGTCATTTGGAACTCGTGAAAACTGACTCCTTTTTTAAATATTCAAAGCACTCGAATATTTGGAAAGTTAATTAGTTAAGAGTTGGCTTTCATTGCATGAGAAAAACTCTGTATGGTGAAACTACCTGGAATAGCTTTCGTTTTGGTGGACTATCATTGATCTAATGAGTGGTGATTTGAAGGTATGGAATGAAAGTTTGAGTAGCTCCGGGACTCGATCCTAAGTTATAAAAATCCTTTGGCTTCTGGTTCAAATCCATTCTGGGTATTGATTATTATTCCATCTTTGATCCCCACCAAATTGTGTAAACTTTTTATATAGAGTGAATGAAATTGAAGAGTTGGAAAGCTTTTAAAACCCAAATGGACTAAACTTATGTTGTTATCATTATTATTTGTCCCTTGGTTTCTGAGTGGAACATAGAACTTTGACACCATGCCTCGATTGTATTCTGTTCTTTATCATTTTAGTTGGCTGCACAACTGCCCATAAGCTTTCATTTCCTAATCATATGGTCTCCCCAAAGTCACTCACGGAGCCACAACCAACTCGTTGCATCCCCATTCAGGTTCCACTCGAGGGCTTGAAGTGAGATTTCACTCACCGATCTGCTGAGCACATGTCTCATCCATCTACATTTCCTTCTGCATATTTTTGAGGTAACAGATTGTTGACTGGTTTACTACCTGCCTGTCTGAGTACCTTGCTGCATATTCTCATCTGAATCTAGGTATAAAAGTGTAAAATTGTTTTTTTTTCACAAATTCAAATCTTATATAAACGGGTTTTGTTTTCCCTTCAAATGTGTTTTGATATTGGCCATATATTTTTATGCTTACAGCTATGCCATTTTTGTTTATCTAGTCTAACGAATAAATTAGTGAGTCGATGGTTCAGTGGTACGGTGTTGGCTAACCATGCGCCTAGTCCAAGGTTCGAGTCCAAAACGGCTCACACCTTTACCTCCCTTAGCCGGTTACAGTCCCGATAAAGAGGGGAGGTCGGCCCTCGAGCTAGCAGCCCCACCCAGTAAAGAACATCACTGCTACTGAAACTTCAGAGCTCTAGCTTGAATTCCTTTATCCCTTTCGGGATGCAAAGGAATAAAATAAATAATAATAAATAATGTATACATTAAAAAAGTCTTTAAAAAAATCGATAAAATTGACAAATATAAACACAAATGTATATTGTCTGTTTTGTTTACAAGGTATACTGCATACAATTGGTCGTGTTATCTCCGGAATTATGGCGAATATCTTTCATTTTGATTCAGTTTATTTAAGTGGATTATCAACATTCATTGGGGGATTAGCTCATCTACTGCTTGTTTTCATATTACCGCATACATTTACATGGTATGCAATATATGCAAGTGTTTATGGTCTATGCAGTGGTAAGTTATTGTTGTTGCGTTTTTTTCTTTTGTGTTTTGTAAATTTACTTCTTTATTAAAGCATCGGATTCTTTTGTAATAAAACTGGTATGCGTTAGTGGTGTAGTGTTAGAATGCTCGCTAACCACGCCAAACGTGATCGGGGGTTCGATTCCCGTCCTAATCACTCCTGGACTTCAATTAACCAGTAGTTAGCTCAATCAATAAACAAAGAAGGTTAAGTGTGAGACTAACAACCCACACTTCTATTGAAACTTCATAGATTAATGCCCTATGTTCCACCAGGAATGCGAAGAAATAAAAACAAATCAATCAATGACTGAAGAGTTCTCGTTATATGGATTAAAGTTATTCACAGTGGAGCCTTATCTTTCCACTCCTTGTCATCTTAAAGAAACCTTGAACATTCGCATCATTTGGCATAAACTATTTACTCTTCTCTCATTGATTTATATTTTTTCATTGTGACATTATGTTACTTCTGATCACTTCTTCTTGCTCTCCATATTTCTTTTGTTTGTTTGGATAACTGAAGTCAGTTCAGCTGATGTACCTTTGCATAAAGTTGTCACTGTTTATGCATCATTTTAATAGTCATGTTAGTTGAAACTGTAGCTTAAAAATCCCCATTGAGTCATATGAAAAAGGGAAGAAGTTCAGCGAAGAGAGACTCTTTTCGGTGAATTCATTCATATAGCTGTACAATAGCATTTATATATAATTATTTGTGTGTGTGTGTACATGAGGTTTGTCAAGTTTAGATAATTAATTAGGTAATACAAGAATGATCTAATATAGAAACAAGGTTAATTAGACAGCAACTAAAGTAAGATTGAGTTAGTAAGTTAGATGACGTAATATAATTGACTAAAATGTTTCAGCTTAGGTCAGGATAGCAACAGAGGTAATTACAGGTAGAGATTAAGTAGAAGTGAAATTGAGTAAATAAGTTGGATGACGTAACATAAATGACTAGAAATTGAGTGTTGGTCAAGTCAGTAACAGTGGTAGTGAAGTGGAGGAATTAAATCGGGTGGGTGTAGAGAACAAGAAAGTTGAAATTGTAAAATATTACAATTGAGGAGATGAAATAATACTAATGAAGAGACAGAAAAAAAGAGATTAGGTAGAATTTACTTGTCAGGTGATAAGATAGATTACGTCCATTGCAAGTGTAATGATTGAACGAACTTCTGTATGCAGAGTTCAGGACTTAGCAAGTGAATCGCCATTGCTTCTGCAGTTTGAAGAAGTCTGATTCCTACACCTTTAGGAAGACTACTTCTTACTCTGTAGACGACTTTGAAGTTTGTTTGCAGTGTAGCTTGGTGTCCGGAATCTATCAGATGTTCTAAGATGGAGCTTCGGGGGCATCGTTTTTCTCCTTTGTAAAACCATGTTGGTAAGTGTTCGGTGATACGTCTGGAAAGCGAACGCTGGGTACGGCTGACATACCTGGCTCCACACAAGCAGGTGAATTGATAAATACACATTGATGAGGCCAACAGTGGTAGCTTACCCTTCACGTTCACATGAATCATAAGTTTTGTAGAGAAGGTTAGTCGTAGTTCAGATGCGAAGAAGGTCTTCTTAAGTGAACGCGACAGTCGATTTTTTAGTGTTTCCGCAGATAAATCTCCATTGAATTGAAGGTTAATGTAGAGTAGTTTCTTTTCGGGACGCTAAGCATGGGCGGCTTTTTTTGGTCTAGGATTCATAGATTTTGCAATAAATCGTTCTGGATAACAATTCTCGACGAGGATTCTCTTGAGATTGTCCAGTTCATCTTCTATGATATCCGGGGTGCAAATTCTGCGAACTCTGTAGCTGAGTGAACGGATCAGGTTTCGTTTGGTGTATAGAAGTACCCAACTGTGAAAGTTAGTAAGTAACTAAGTAGTCTCTACCTGTAATTACCTCTGTTGCTACTCTGACCTAAGTTGAAACATTTTAGTCAATTATATTACGTCATCTAACTCACTAATTCAATCTTAATTTAGTTAAAATTGTATTGAATATTCACTTGGAGGTCATATTTCTGACCATTAGCGTTGATGAATGAATTCTGCCGGTCAATTTATAATGCGATCATCAATCTGTGACACACACCGTCTCCGTGTTCAACGGTTGGACAGTCCGAATAGTTCAATGATAATGTCTCTGACTCCAGCACTAGGTAATCAAGATTAGAATCTCCAGTGAGAAATCATCCCTTCAAGGTTGCAGATATGCCTTGGTGATTGAGTGCCATTAAGCATAGGACCTAGGTCTAAGTCTTCCTGCAGACTGCCTCCAAAAATTTAACATTAATGCATTTGTTATTCTATGTACTACTGATTGACTGGCAGAAGTAGTTGGACACCACTAACATTCACCACCAGTGCCGGTCATTTCGCTGGTTTGGGGTTGAACTCATCATCAGTGTATCAGGGTTGACTAAGCTCAGAAAACCGAATGAGTTTAAACCACCAGAATTCTGAATTTATTTATTTAGTTAAAATTAGTTTATACTGATTGATCCTACGATAGAATAAGAAAACAGTAACTGATTACTTTGAAAATCTAAGCAGGTAAATAAATAGTGATAAAAACAGTTTCATCTAAACAATTAACAATGAACAGTTACGAGTTTGACCACGGATTGATACCAGTTAGAGAACCATTGAAAACCAGCACTGGAGTACTGGATAGCTGCTTCATCCTAGTTTCGGAATCATCGGCAGTACGCATCCACTGGGGTTCGGACCCAGGACCTTCCAGTTACACGGCAAGCTCGTACACCATTCAACCACTGGGAACCGATTCAGTGGGCAGTGCATGAATTCTAACTTCTACCAACTGGTGATTCAGAGCGACCACCAACCAATGTTATCTGCGGGACATCCACCCTCACACATTTGACTGGATGGACCTCACTAGTCAAGACTTCTCACTAGAACTCCGTCGTGTAGTAAGTCACCAGAGACCATCAGATTAATTTTCAAGATGACATTGGTTGGTGGTCGCGCTAAATCACGAATCGGTCCTGGATTCTTACCCTGGCGGTGGGTGCATACTGCCGATGATTCCCAAACTAGGATGAAACAGCTGTCCGATACTCCAGTGCTGATTTTCACTGGTTCTCTAACTGATATCAATCCGTGCGTGGTCAAACTCGTAAAAACAAATTTAATCCACACAAACTAACTGTTGAAAATAAACAGTTACTTAACTTAATTTAACTGAAACTATGTGATTGTAACCTGAAACTGTCAGGTTCTCTATATCTTCTGTGAAAACATGATATCCTGATAACGATCAAAGGACTTGTGTACTGTACAGCATTTCACTCTATCCTTCCTTATCGCTATGATACATGGCTGGTGAAAGTGAAAGATATGAAGTGACTAGTTGTTTTTGATCATAGATGTTTGCATTCTATCTTCCCTGGTAATTGATGTAATATAGTGAGGGGTATTGAGGCTGGGAGTAGAATATCAGATGAAGAGGGAAAGCTAATCGATGAAATTGTGCAGCTACAATGATTAATATGGTTAGGACACGTGTGACCCATAGCAAGCTACCGACTTCCTCATCGAACAATATTAATTGACATAAGATGAGATTGTAAAAGTTTTTTCAGGTCAAAATAACAAAAAACGAATAGAGAATCAATCGATGAAGTCTTTGACTTTTGATGTGAGCAACGTAGGGAGTTGTAGACTGAGCCTGGTTGAGATCCTCAGGTTGTTAAGATCCAATAGCTTCAGACTGTAGGAGATATGGTTCGCAGTCGGTTTCAGTGGTACAGATGCATTCACTCATTGAAATTTCCCAGATCCATCAAGTCGTCATGTTTCTTCGTCATGTAATTATTCTTCTTCACGTACATTTCTACTAGTTATAGTTCTTTTGAATTCTTCGCCTTTTCTCTACCTTTTTATACTATATGGAGTGTGACAACTTGAATTGCTGAGTTAATATGTAAAGTTCTACGCTGATACTTAGTCAGCTAGTCAGAATCCTTTCCACAGTTAATCAGACCATGACTATTCAGTAATACTGTAAAAGGTTAGCTAATTAGAAGTAACCAGCGTTAAGGGTACTGGACGGTTTATTTGTGAAGCTCCCATTGCCCTACTAGGCAACATCTTCAGCGCATGCTTCAATTTGAAGTGAGCTTTTAGATTTCTCCACGAGTTTATTAGTCATCTCTCCTGGTGACCACCTTGGACGTGATTTGTTGTTTTTGTGTGTTTTCACATCCTCTAGGCTACTTGTATTGGAACTGATTGTTTCCTTGACTTGAACTTTGACCATTTGTGTGTGAGCTTTCCTTCTTATCGGTTGGTAAATTTGTCTATGTCAATGTGTCTATTGACTGACGATTCACTGAAGATGTTGCCTAGTAGGCCAATGGAAGCTTCGCAAATAAACCATCCAGGTCAGAGAACACAACTGCATCAAAATCATCCACCTGAGCTATAAATTTTCTCCATTGTACTGGTGTGTATACTGTATTAAACTTTTCTTTCAGTAGCAACGCTTAAATACGTGCTTCTCCCAGTCCTGTTTGGTCACATTACTGTGATTTATTGAAATATTTATGTAATATTAATTGCGAATACAATTTGTATGTAAATTGAGAAGTAACCTTATAGAGCTGCAAACATTCACTTTTTTCTTCTTTCTGATTTAGGTATACCTGTTCCACTTATACCAATACTTCTAGTTCGTTTCAGTGGGCTTGAACGTTTAACAACAAGTTTTAGTAATTTAAATTTACTAAAAGGCATCTCATCAATGGTTGGACCTGTGATAGCAAGTAAGCATATTTTGTTTTAATACCCACTGATCTTCCTAAATCAGTATTTATCAGTTACAGGATTTCATGATGAGCTGACATCCATTAGAGAACCATTGTAAAACTTGCAGGGAGTACTGGACAACTGTTCCCTCAGCCTAGTTTGGGACTCTTCAGCAGTACGTACCCATCGACAGGGCTCGAACCCACGGCCTTCTGGTCACAAGGCGAGCTAGCTCGTAGACCATTAAACCACTGGTCAATTCACGACATAGGGCGACCACAAACAAATGTTATCACTGGCGAGTATTTGTCCTCACAACTGACCTGCTGCACCCTACTGGTCACAACTTTCCACTAGAACTCCAAGTAACTGCTACCTGAATAGGGTCTGTGATTTGTCATACTAATCACAGGTGAGTATATTAGCAGTTACCGTAACAAATATCCTTCCTTTTTGTTTCCACCTAGTTGAAAGGTGATAGAATAGAGAAGGGCAATCACAGTTTGAATTTCCCCAGCTAGTTAGTGTTGTGCTTTTTTATGTGCCTTTGTATTTCGCGTTTACTGGAATACTGTAATCATTTCAAATGTTACATTTAGCTATTTTAAAGATGTTTTATCAACTTTTTTACACATCACTATGACTTCCTGGAAAGTTAACATTTTCTGAATTACATCAGCTTAAAGTTTAGTAGAGTTTATTCATCAGTTGAAACCTTGAATATTTTAACAAATATGAGGATGGTGATCTTTTATGTAATTCCGAGTGTTTAACAAAGATTACTCTGATATAAAGTGTTCAGTGCCTTAAAAGACTAATTATTAGTGAACGAAGAATGTTTTCTTCTCCCAATAAACTCCTCAAGAATTAGTTTGTAGGGATTCTATTTGTTTCAGGTTAGACACTGATTGATATCAGTTAGAAAACCATTGACAACCATCACTGGAATACAGGACTGCTGTTTCGTCCCGGTTTGGGACTCACCGACGGTACGCATGTGGTGAGAGCTGGCTGCTAGCCAAAGTTGGTAGACAGTAATTGACATCAATGTTTATGTCCTCAATATTGATCGTGAGAAAATGAGAACAAAGGCTTCGCGTAGGCGGATACAGTTAGCATATAGATGATCTGACACAGCCACAAAGAGATGCAAGGTTAAATTTCTGTGAGAAACGACCAATCCAAAGACTGTATTTTCTACTAACAATAATCTACAATAATGTACATTAAAATCTATAAATATGAGTTGATTTTCCTTAATAAACGATCTGTTGCCTGGCCTGTGTCTTCTGTTGTTACACGCACCCACTGGGTGGGTTTTGAACCCACGACCTTCCAGTTACAAGGCAAGCTTGTATACCACTTAGCCACTGGCATCCGCTTTAATGACCCAAGAATTCTAACTTCACGAATTGTTTTGCCGCAATACTAGTTCATTTGCTCTCTTTAGCATGCAATCTTTCTCTCCTCTACCATTCAATATTTTGTGTCGATGAACGTCTCTTTATGCACTACTGACAAGAATTCGGAAGTAGTATGTTGAAAAGGTTTTCTGTAAGAATCATGAATAGCGAGCGAATGGGCAGCTTAAATTAAATAGCGAAGAAGTCACGATACTTATGAATCAATGTATAGAGAGTATATAATGAAGACAAAAGAAGCAGAAATTGGACTTTCAGTGTAAGGATTTCATACTTTACCATCACTATGTGTCATTTTGTCAAATAATCAATTCTACTACTAAATGTCACTGTGTTCTGCCTTTACAACAGTATAAATCACTTGGTGGATATTTGTTTGACTGCCTTGCTGACATGAACTTCCTGTATGAAGTCTTTCCGTATTCATCTATGTACTACATTTTCCTGATTCCTAAATGTTGGTTTGCAGGGACCTAACTAATTTCAAGTAAGATTTCATCAGGGAGCAAATTCGGTTAGAGGACGAAGGGTTACTGGACAGTTATGCCGTCGTAGTATGGAATTTTTTCTGGTAGTATGCATCCCTACCACCACCACCTGAGATTGAACCCAAGGGCTTCAGGTAACGCGGCTAGCATGCTACCATTCAGCCATTTCTTCAAATAAAAGTCATTGAATTCCCTTTCGGTAGCTAACCGCGTTCCATAAACTGTTAGCTCCGTAATCTCAAGGTCCTGAGTTTAATCTCTGATGGTTTTGTGAGTGCATACTACTAAAAAGTCTCGAAGTGAGATAAATTAGCTCTCTGTTCAGCGCTTTCTGCTTTCCAACACTTCTCAAAGTTACATCAGTTCGTGACTGAAACCGAATTCAGATCCGCTTGACTGCTGGACTGTGATTCCTTTTTGAAATAAAACAAGTAATGCGTTGAAGCAAATGTATAATACTTTTTTCTCATTTATTTTATTTTATTCTCCTCTTTTTTTTTGTTCTATTTTTTTTTCAAAGTAAGCATAGTTGAACAAACTGGCAAGAAAGATTATTACTTCCTTGTCGCTGGAATATGTTATATAACTTCAGCACTACTACATCTCGGATTATGTAGATATCCATGCTGTAAAAAACCTCAGTCAGCTGATGACGATGATTTTGAAGATCCATATGCTGTGTGTTGTTCATGTATGACGAAAGGCCAGTCAACAGAAAAGACCAATGCATAATACGGTAATTGTACACTGGACACAATGAAGACAGAATAACTAAACAAAGAAGAAAGAGATTGTGTGTGTTTCTCTCTTCAATAAATAAAAACAACACCTATTATTATTATGATTCAACCATTTCCAAATTCTAGTGATTAGTCAAATTTTATAAACTTCCTTCCAGCATTTTGTTTTTATAAAAGTCTGGTTTTTTTAGTAGTACAAAGATATTTTTTTTTGTCTAAAATGAATAAAGAGAACTATTTTTTAACTGAGTTGTTTTAGTGCTTTTTGAGGGTAGTATGCTCTCCAGCTACTCAGAAACTCCGTGTTTTTTTCTTTCCTGACAGACGCAGTTCGAAACTTCGACTGTTTTACTAGATTGTAATAGGCTCGGAAAAGAAGAAAGGTGAGGTGTGAAAGTACGAAGTGTATACCAGGATCGGTACTGTTGGGCAGGGACACTTGCTTTGCTAACTAGACACAGTGTACGAGCGTAACATGACACCATGACAGATGGTGAGGATGCTTGTCTTCATGTAACAGTCAGACCAGCAGCTGAATAAGTGATTAAAGCAGAATACAAACTAAGCAGGAAATGTGTATTCAGCTCAAAGTCAAATTCACAGTGAACGGATAGAGCCTTAACATTTTATCCGTCTTTCTTTTCTTCGTTAGTTTTAAGTTTTTGTTACTGTCACACCGCTTGTGTCGGAGAATTGACTCTAAAATTTATCCCTTCAAGGAAAATAGGCAAAAAGTCACTTGGTGTATAATCTATAAGGGTTATGGCTTCGCCGATATGTCTTCTCTCCTCCGGTGGCAATACCTTCAGTGCCCAGTTGAACGTCTGGGTACTCTTATCTTCTACCGGTTGGAACTTTGTGTTGACAAGTGACAGCTGATGGCTGGTAGCATTCGCGGAGGCTATCGTAAGGGAATCTACAGTGATTTTTCAGCTGATTGTAGTTGGCGAAAATGTTGTCTGCACCTTATTGCTAAGGATTTTTCTGAGATTAGATGGTTGTGGGACATTACTGCACAATTTCAAATGCCACTGGTAGAATTCGGAGCATCATACAGATGGACGTTGGGGTCAAACATCTTCTTGCCTCAACCTCACCGCCTTACACCATTTAGTAAAGTAGCGGAATGTCACCAAGATATACTAGTCACTTCATTTCTGGGTCGTAAGTAGCCTCATGATATCAGTGCTTTTGAGAACATGAGTATGGCGACACTCGAAGTGTTTGTAGGGGCTGTCTAGTTTTATGAATAATCCCTATCTAGACATTAATGAAAATAAAACACGTAGTTCAGTGAAGAGTTTTTCTTCGACGAATTCATTCACTTAGCTGTACAGTCGCACTTATAAATATTATTTTTGTATATGTGTACATTAGGTATGTCCAATAACAATGAAAATAAGTTTAGGTTATTGTTTTCAAGACATTTCAAAAATGTGATGAATAATCAAATTGTAACTAGGGTGGGGTGAAGATTGGTAAGAAGGTAGTGGTGCTGTGTTGTCAAAAAACAGAGCTAATAATGTTAATCAACACATAAAAGAGGTTGATTAATCGCGATACAGTTACGTTATAAGATGAACAGTTTAACGAGTGAGTCGTGATTAGGAGGCACATGGAAACAAAGACGAATATGGGATTATGTAAGAGTTCTAGCAATTACAAATGTTATAAGGAGTTAGAAAAATACAAGCACACAAACATCAAGTCAGTAGAAGTCAACACGGTTGTTACCATGATAGTAGAAGAGGTTAGATGACTTTCTTTTGCATATATAACTCTGGTTTTTCCAAATGAATGGCTAAGGCTCCAGCGAAACAAAAGAGATAAAAGTAGATTGCCTTCGGTAGGTTACTCTTCACTTCGTAGATCCCTTTGAAGGAGACGTTTTTTGCGATTTAATGACCAGCGTTGGCGAGATGTTCGATCATCGCACCCTTTATACAGCCACTATTACCTTTTTGCAGTCATGTTGGATACTGTTCTTGCGTCCTATTCGACAGGATACTAGTCGAAAGGCCAGTGAACCTGACTGCACAGCAACAGGTAAACTAATATATGCATATAGAATTGGCTAGATACAAGATCCTGTCCTTAAGGCTCCTGCAGGTCAATGGGCGGCTGGAGAACACTACTCTTAGCGTTGCCGCCAAAAATGTTCTCAAAGATGCTGAAATCCTTCCCTTGGGGATAAAACAAGCTAAATCTCTCTCGAAATCTAGAATAATATGAAGTATCTCTTTTGAAACAAGTGGTGTTTCGTTCCTTTGGATCTTTGGTTTGATAATCTTCTCCATGAATATTGAGGGGTGTCCATTTTGGATGAAGATTTCTTCCAGAAATCAACTTTCAAGTTTGCATTATTAAGACTAACAGTGAGTTTGGCTCAACACATATTCACAAACTTTCTCTTTCTGGGATTTTATTGCTGAGCCTGCACTTCTATATATCTCCTGGTCGAGGTCGAACAACCCAACATCTAAGCTGAAATGACCATTTAGGTAAATTCAAACTCAAATTCCATGAACGATTCGATACTACCATTTGAAAACGCTGGCCAACATTCTGTACAAGGAGTATTCTTGATCTGAAATAAAGAAGGAACTGGTTTTCAAACAGTTTTCGATGTATTACTCAACTTACATGTACAGTCTGCCATGCTGACACTAATGGCGCCAATGGATAGTTCTAGTAACGACCTCGGCCCCTTTGGATGTAGTAAAACAATCCAACATGACCTTATCTAGTTTTCGTATCAACGATCAAATTTCTTTCCTATTATAAAACTACGATTAGACTGCTGAAAAAATGGAATAAACACATCACTGACCTCAAAAAAAACATCAATAAACATTAACTCAAGGATGCTGTTCACAAAAAAGTTATATAGCAGAATTGACTTCAAGCTTTATTTTTCCCAGATATTTGTATTACATTCATCTGATGTCTGGGTTTTTTGTTAATGCGAAGACAATATTTCTGTATCTCTTTGTGTGTTACACAGACAGACTATTTTGCAGACTGTTCCGACTGACTCTAATGTCAGAAAGAACAAACAAACTGTAAATTCAGCATACATCGAAATATGTGTAATTAATATAGTAACTTATCCATGCCTACATAAACAGGAATAAATATATAGATAACTGTGCGGATGACATCATCCATTAGTAGAATCAGTTCTCATTTGTTACATGTGCGTAGCATTGCTGCAGTTAGTATTAGTATTTCCTCGATGCTGGAGTACGCAGACGTGTTTCAAGTCTATCTCCGCGGCTTGCTATGACGCCCAACCAGCATCGGCTTCTTCACCACGTAGACATTCACTGTGGGATCAAAACTAGGCAGTCAAGAGGGCGCATCTGCGCTTGTATGTGCATATTCGGAGATAAAGTCAAATTCTTGTAGGTCCTGTACCCAGACTGCTGTCACTCTAGGTCCAAAAGGTTAGAAGCCACTGTGGGGTATGGTGGCCTGTGTGCATTTGAAGGGGCGCTGAAGAAGGTAACGATGAAAGTTGTACTGGGATTTCACCAGGGTTAGTGGGCAACCTTTATCCTTAGGATAGTGCAATAATGGGCTTAAAATTCACCCAGTTCCTTCCTGGCATATAATATAACACACCAGTGGGAAAGTGTTACACAATAGTCCGAAAGGCATTTTCTATGGCTTCGGTGTCTAGGGTAAATGGTTCAGCTGTTGGACAGGTGTCGAGGAATGGTATGAACGGAGTAGAGACAGTGCGTTCCTCCAGTTCATCAATTGACTTTCGACATTCTATCGTCCTTGCGAATTTCCTCCCTTTTTCAGCTAGCCGGTGTATTTATTATTATTATTTCCTTTAATTCCTAGAGCAGCATAGGGTTTCAGCCGTGCGTCTCCATCGCGTTCGGTTCTCTGCTAGAGTCTTCACCTGGCTCCATGTCTGCCCACACGTTTTCATCTCCTCTTCACATGACCTCCTCCAAGTCAACCTTCCACTGACGACCAACTCGCCGCTTCCCTTTCGGGTTCCACTCGAGCAATGGCTTGTCTAGTGATGTCACTCACTTGGTGGTTTCCTCAGAGTATGGCCAATCCATCTCCATTTCTTCCTGCCTATTTGTTTCACAATCGGTTCCTGCTGGGTTGGTTCGCTCCCAGAGATCTCTGTTGCTGATCTTTTCTTGCCGGCCATCTGATTTTGAGTAGTATTGAGCGAAGACAACTGTTAATGAAGGTCTGTAGTTTGTTTGAGATGCTCTCTATGACGCGAAGTGCAAGTCTCTGATTCATCCGTATAGTGAGTAGCACTGACTTCACATTGAAGTTGAAAATCCGGGTCTTAATTTTTGATGCTGAGTGTTGTTGACCTCCACACAGACTTGAGAGTAGTGAAAGCTTGTCTTGCTTTTCCGATTCCTGCTTTGATATCCTCGTCAGTTCTGTCCACCTGTAGTTGAAACGATGCTTCCCAGGTAGGTAAAAGAGGTTGTTTCTTTCAGGTTCCTCCTCTTTATGCTGATTGTTGTCTGTTGTTGTTGCTGCTGTTGGTGGTGTTGCCCAGGAATCTTCATCACCGCTGTAAATGCTCTGCTAATAGAGCTCACTTTGCTACAAAGTTTCTGTGGTGTAACACTAATCTGAGGAAGCTCCAGAGACCGACTGTTCATTTTGGTGGGGCCAAGTGGATATGAAATTAGTCTGTTTCAATGATATGACATTGTTGTGTAACCCATGAAAGTTACTTCACACATGTATAACTGGCTTTTAACTGGTTTGAGCCTCATGCCGTGAAAATCTAGATAGTGAAGTACGTTTGCATGTATCTGAGATGCCTTTAGGCTGCCAACCTTTCTAACACCAGCGGGATCAGGGTTCGAAACACAACGGGGAGTATTGGATGGCGAGAATAGTGTCGGTGGCACAGTGGTTAGGACTCTCGCCGACCATGCACATGGTCCGGGGTTCGATCCGCTGCCGACGCACACCCGATATCTATGGTCGGCCTGAAAAATTTGGGCTACCGATATCCATGCTGAAAATTCCACACTTGTACTGAAAATACGGTGTGGCATCAAGCTGTAAATCAAAAAAAATTTTGAAAATCCTACAGCCCAGTGGGTCAGATGATGTCCGTCGTTTGATAGTCTCCCAGTCGTACCTCAACCTGGCAGTACAGATGCAGTTCTCCTATCATGGCGTCAGTTCCAGCGAGCGGAGAAGAATTGCCTTTGAAAATTTAGTTCAGCCGGCGGTAGTCTGC